CCTGGCTATTTGGCTGGCCCTTCGATATGAATATTTGAATGAGTTTGTCAATTGCAACAATAACAAGGCTTCTTACAGTTTTGGTGACCTGAAGAAATCTACAGACTAGCTCAAGGGGGGACAGTGCCTTCTGGCTGTCTCCCAGCACTCTGGAAAGCTGAGGCAGGAGGGTCCCAAACTGAAGCCCAGCCTAAAAAACTGGCAAAACATTGTTTCAAAATAGAGAATTTTAAAAAGGCTGGGACTGTGGCTCAGCCCAAAGGCCTTGAGTTCAATCTCCAGTATCTCCCAAACCAAACAAATGCAGGCCTGCAGGAGAACATCGCAGCTGTGCTGAACCTCCTTACATGCAGTACTGCTGCACACCTCACGACCCACTTTTCTGGTTGAGCACACAGCACTGTCCCTTTTGGTCTATACCTCTTAAACCCTCTTCAGTCAACTGTAGGGGCTGGTGGAGCACGCTTCTAGGTGTAGCTGGGTGGGCTGTGGAGGCATGGCCTTGTGCGCCTCTATCTGGCCCCTTCCTCTGCTCTGCTTCCCAGCTACCATGAAAAGTGCAGCTTGTTCCACTGTGATGGTCCTGCCTTGGAGCAAGCAGGCCACGGACTAAACCCACCAAGACCAGGAGACAAATTCAAGATTCCTTTAAGCTGCAGGTGTCAGGTACTGTGGCCAGCAGTGGAAGACCTGACCCTCTTTTTTTTGTTTGCACTACTGGGGACTGAATTCAGGACCCTGAGTTGCCAAGCACTTATTCTACTGAGCTATCTCTCCCTGGCCCGGAAGACCTGAGCAACACATTTCTTAAATGTATTGCTGAGCAATTCATCCTGAAGATGTTACTGTAAATGACAGCTTTGCAGCAGCATGGAGAAGCACACTCGATTCCGCAGTTGCACCCTCTGAACAAGGGCCCTGTGTCTCCCTTCCATCCATGTGGTTCCCACAAGGCTGTTCCCCCTACTGCCTTGCCATCTCAGGGCCACACTAAGCAACCGCTGCCGCAGTTGCTGAGACACCCTTTGCACACTCTGCCTCCAGGTTGGCGGAGGCTCCAGGCAGCTTGACGGGGCTGCTCTTCTCCGCCTACTGATGCAGCACCTAGACTATTACAGTGCTAACCAGCTTGAATTTCAGGGACAAATCGCATGTGACCATGGCGCTTTTCAGGGAATAGTGTATCTGATCTGCTGGTTTGTTGAGAATACTTGTACGTGTATGTGTGCGCCTGCGCATGCGTGCATGCATGCAGAAGGCCCAGTGTCAGGTGAGGCCTGCACTGTGGCCCATGCTGGGACGCCTGCTTCCTCTCCTGTGCATGGTCTTGCTCCTCACCCTGATCATCTGTGCTCTGGGGCTGGATGCATCCATGACCCTGGGCAGCATCTGGGCTGGGGCTCCCACAGGGGTTTCAGCTGCACATCCCATCCTCACTTGCACAGAGCTGCTTGGGCACCAGCTTTGCATGCAGCAGGTCTGCACTGGCTTACAGGGACCGGGAGATTTGGCTTTTGAGCTTTTTTTTTTAATGAATTTAGGACAGGGCATACAGGGTCTCACTACGTAGACTGGACTCGTTGTGATTCTCCAGTTTTTAGCCTCCCAAGTGCTGGGATTACAGGCCCGTGCCACTACGCCCAGCCTCAATGGCCATCTCAGCACACCCCACGGGCGGGGCCGGCATAGCACAGGGGATCGAGCCCCGGCCGCTGCGCTCTGCCTAAGCAGGCGCGTTAGTCCGCTGAGCTATCTGGCTAGCCCTGGCTTTTGAGCTCTTTAAAGGTTTATGCTCTAAGACATCTTGGTGACAATTCAGGGCTCAGTTCTAAACCTCCCTCCCCAGCTATATCTTTTAGTCCAGGGTCTGCAGGGTCTCACTACACAGATAGGACTTGCAGTGCTTCTCCTGTTTTTAGCCTCCCAAGTGCTGGGACCACAGGTGGGCGCCACCATGCCCAGCCTCAGTGGTTCCTGGAGGTGGGGCCAGCACAGCACGCTAGAGATCGAACCCCTGTCCCTGCATCTGCCTAAGCAGGCACCCCACCTATATCCTTAATAGGCAGGAAACAGACCCTACCCATCTCAGTCCATTTGGCTGCCCTGTCTGCTGAGAGGTCCTCTCCCATGAGCTTCTTTTTTTTAAAAAAAAATTTATTTATTTATTTTGTGTGTGTGTGGCCAGCTCAGCCCACCAGGGGGCAGGGCTGGCTGGCATGTGGTGCTGGGGGATTGAACCACGGTCTCTGTGCTTTTGCTCAGCTTGTTCTAAGTAGGTGCTTTAGACCACTGAGCCATCTCAGCAGCCCCGACTCCCATGAGCTTCTACTTCTTCTGGGGTCCTGAACCCTCAGGGCAGGAGACAGGACCAGGACCAGCCTGGTTGCTCGGACTCTTACTCATACTCAAGAGGTCTCACCCCCACTCTCTGCCACCACTTCTTCTCATGGTCTACAGGACTGGCCAGCCTGTCCTCACCTGCTGGCCCACCCCACCCCTGGGTCCACTGTCACTGACCTTCAAGCCCTCCAGCACAGGGGCAGTGTCCTTCAGGACCTCTGAGGGCAGGATCACATCAGGCGCCTCTGGCTGCGGCTCCACCACGGCCTTCCCAGGAGTGGTGGTGCCCATACCTTCTAGCTCAGTGCCTTTCTGAAACAAAAGCAGCACAGTCACGCCAGCAGCCTTGCTGGGTGCCACACAGCACCATGTGCACAAGAGGCCCGCTCAGGGGCGGCAGAGACATGCAGACCCTTACCCAGAAGGGCTAGACAGACACCCAAAGCCCCAAGAGTGCAGTGCAGGGCTTGCCTGTTTGGTCTTCCCTTGCAACCGTGCAGAGCAGAGACTGAGGTGGCAGGCAGGCACGGGAAGAACTAGAGACCCCAGCCTTGGGCACAAGCGCCCTGCAGCCTTCCCTGGGGGAGCAAAGGTGAGGCCCTAAGAAGGCAGGCACCGCAGTGCTCTCTGTGTGGGTGGTGAGCTGGCCCTCTGATCTAGACACAGGGAGATGGCCAACCTGTAGCCTCCACCTAGACTCTCCTGCCTCTCGTGCCACCCTGACTACTGCTCAAGATAACAAGGACAGAGCTGCAATCTCCACATGTGGACAAGAGCTCCCCTGAGCCAAGGGCCAAGACTACTCACCGCCGCCTCTGCGGCCCGCTGCAGCTCCTTCTCACGGTGCTCTTGCTGGATGGCAGCTTCCTCCTGTAGCGTGGCCTCCAGTTTTGCCTTGTTGTCCACCTGCTCACCTTCCACCTCAGCCACTTTCACCTGGGCCTCCTTGGCCTGCAAAGGAGGGGTGCCTGGGAGTGAGCCCCAAGCCTGTGCCCCTGCATCACCACCTGCTTCACACAGCAAAGTCTTGGGACACTGACTATAGGCTTCAGATTTGCTGCCTTGTGCTACACACCTAGGGCAGGGCTACCAGCATGCTGTAGACTGCGCCACTGGGGGCAGCTGGAGCACGGCTACTGTGGGCAGGAGCAAGGAGCGGGGTGGTAGGGAGGACGGCAGGCTGGTCCCCAGCTCCCACAGTGGACAGCTGAGTCTCCTGGCAATACATACCACGATCTCCGGGAGGGTCTGCAGTGTGGACTTGAGCTGGTCCGCAGGCGAGAGGGTGTCAGGGAGGTACATGGCCCGGGACAGCACGAGCAGCGATGTGGGCACCTCCTGGTGCAGGTGCAGGTCCAACCACTGGAACAAAGCCGGGCTAGCGACACACCACCCGGCCTCCCCGGCCACCCACAGCCCAGAGCCTCCGCCATGTCCCTGGTCTACTGAGGAGGAAGTCTGGCAGTGAAAGCCAAGCAGGACCTGTGGATGGATCCCTCAGAGCACTTAGCAGCTCTGCAGACCATGTCCACCTGCTGCTGGATCTCAGGACTGTGACCTCCATGGTACTCCAGTCCTTTAACCCTGAGAGCTGGCAGTATGCCCTCCCTTCACCAACTCTCCACACTCACTGCCATAGGCCAGTTGCTATGCCAGGCTGCTTTTGTGACAATTTTCAACCTCAAAAACACTGACCATGTTTGGATATGAACTGAATACAGGTCCAAAAGAAAAAGAAAACCAAACTATTTAATCATTTATTTGCAGAACCAGGGATTGAACTCAGGCCCTTGCGCTTGCCAGGCAAGTGCTTATTCTACTGAGCCATCTCCCCAGCCCCAGAAACTTTAGAAGAGGGTGAAAACATGGAGCCGAGGGTCAGAGAGGGAAATGCCGGTGGCTTGGTCTGTACTCCCCACCCCACTGCAGCCTCATGGGTGTGTGGCCTGCAGGTTCATCATGGCCCTGGCTTAGGTGGCTCTGTGGAGCGGTAGGAAGGTCACAGGGCCACCTGAGCAGGGGCTACTGAAGGCACGGCCAAAAGAAGACAGGGCACAAAGGCTCCACACAGAAATGCGGCTGTATCACTGTACCTGGAGGATGCAGGAAAACCTGCAGGCAGGAGCCGGCAGCAGGCACCTGCTCAGGGGCACCGTACCAGGCAGCAGAGCAGAAGCGAGCTCCTGAGGGAGGCTCTCCTGGGACCCAGGCCTTCCCAGGCCGAGCAGACACCACCCAGGCATGGGTGGACACAGTCACCTGCCACAGGTGACCAACCACAGCAAAAGGCCACTGAGGTGAGAGTATGCACACTACAAACAAGTGTGTAGCTCTAGGGTAGGTGAGGAGACGGGCCTAAAATGTCCCAGGGGTCCCTGCCAGCCCGAGTCTGCACCACCTTATCTGCCAGTCTGAAGCTGGACAAACCCCAGGGAAAACCCGGAAAGGATTTGCTTTTTCTTTTCTTTGGTGGTGCTGGGGATGGAACCGAGCACTCAGCAAGGAGCAACACACCTGGCCCTGACAATGCCCCTACACGCCAGTGCCAGCCCGGTGACGGGGTGAGGCCACACACCTGCTTCAGCTGGCTCCGCAGCCGGTCCTCGGTGACGCCAAGGGCCCTCATGCCCCGGGCCCGGCAGGCGGCCTGCAGCTCCTTGACATTCAGGCTGTCCACTCCTTCCTCGGCGATCAGCTGGAAAGGAAGGAGACAGCTACATCTGGTCAGGCCAGCAGAAGTGGGTGTGCTAGGAGCCAGGTGTGGTGGTGCATGCCCGTAATCTCAGTGTGTGGGAGGCTGAGGCAGGAGGACTGCCACACGCTTGAGGCCAGTCTGGCCTACAAAGTGAGTTGTTGTTTTTTTAAATTGCAGAGAGATCCATTTTTTTTTAATTTTATTTTTTAACAAAGTGAGTTCTGTGTACCATTTTTCTTTTTTTGGTACCAGGGATCAAACCCAGGTTGCTAGGCAGGCACTTATGCCACTGAGCTACCTCCCCAGCAGCCCTTACGAAGTGAGTTCAAGATCAGCCTGAAAGCGAGATGCTGTCTCATAAAGACCCCCTGCCCCCCCAAAAGTGGATGTGCCAATTTTACCAGAAACCAAATTTCTTTTGCTTTTTTTGTTTGTTTTTTTGCGGAGCCAGGGATTGAACTCAGGCCCTGGAGCTTGCCAGGGAAGCGCTTATTCCACTGAGCCATCTCCCCGGCCCCCACTAGTGCAGACTTTATTAATGTTATTATTATTATTATTATTATTATGTTTCAGAAACCAAATTTCAAATTAGGAACGCTTTCCTAAGACTCTGCCAACAAACAAGAGTAGCAAGCAATGAGTATGTGCACTGGTACATCCACGCATGATTTTTAGGGCTTCAGGCACCAGTTATAAGTTAAGTGACAGAAGAGGCCATGAGGTAAAGGATCAGGTACCAACACGGCCTGCGGGCCGCAGTGCACCTTGTCGTCGGCCTTTATGGACCGCAGCCGCATGGTGAGCTGGAAGCGCAGGAAGTTGTTGGTGCCGATGGACTGCAGCTCCAGCAGCTTGCACAGCGCCACCAGCTGCGGGCGTGTGAGGTTGTCCAGGGTCAGCTCATCCTCGAACAGCTTGGAGAAGCGCATGATTTCTTCATTGCTGGGCCTCTCGCCTGTCTCACGGATCTGTGGAAACAGCCCACGGCTGGCTTACCTGGTGACCAGACAGTGGGTTCTCCAGCCTTGCTTCTGGCCTGGCTCCCCTCCCTTACTCCTCCAGGCCCCGTACTCCCCACTCCCCTTGTGGGGCAGGACCATGTTGTGGGTGCTGGGCTGGCTCAGCTAGTGGAGACACACAGCTGGCAGCTGGCAGCTCCCTCCTGGGACTGAGCACAGGATATAGGCGGCCAGCTAAAGCTGTCCCAGGAGCCTCTCTGTTAAGTGCTACCCAGGAGACCAAGAGAGAAAGACAGGGCCAGATGAGGCCCAGCTGCAGGGACCCAGCTTGCTCAGAGCCCCATGACACCTTCTGGAAGAATGCTGAGAAGTCCTGGGTGGCGCTGCCCTTGGCTGCCTTGTTCTTCAGGGCCATTTCCTCAATGGTGTCCTGGAGGAACTTGGCCAGCTCCAGCTTGACCCGTAGCTCCTTCTTCAGCCGTTCTTCCTGCAAGGGTGCAGGCCAGAGCTGAGCACCCCACGCCTCCTGCCCAGTGCCCACAGGCAGCGCGAGGTGCAAGACTGTTCACATCTAAGAGCTGTGCTTTCTGAAACCCCCCCATTCCATGCTAGGGCCCATCCTTCCTTCCTTCCTTCCTTCCTTCCTTCCTTCCTTCCTTCCTTCCTTCCTTTCCTTTCCTTCCTTCTTTCTTTCTTATTCTTTCTAACAGTAACAGGAATGAAGCCCAGGGCCTTTGCACTAAGCTACATTTTCAGACCTTTTTTTATTTTTTTTCTTTCTTTATTTTTGTGGAACCAGGGAGCAAATTCAGGCCCTTAAGCACTTATTCTACTGAGCTATCTCCGCAACCCCTTTACTCTTTATTTTGTTTTTTTTTTTATTTTTTTTTATTTTTATTTTTTTATTTATTTGAGAG